ACTTTAGAAACCTCCTGGCTTTACATTTGTTTGCTTTGTTTGATGACAAAGAAACAATAAACCAGTTACATTTATATAAAAGTGTGACATCCGGAGAAATGTTCCAGTGCAGGGTACAAGTTAGCTGTGCAAACACAATGCACAGCACAAGCAGGAAAACTGATATGTGGGTTTGAAAGACAGAACTCATAATAACCCTTGGCAGTAAATCATACTCTATATATTTTACTTTTGTTTTTTTCAAGTAAGTTTTGTATGTAAAAGTGTCTTTACTCATATCATATTACACATAAAAAAAATAACTTTGTGGTGTACACTTCCTTCATATGCTGTGCCTAAATTTAGGGTATATACTAGAACATATCTTTCTAGAAAACAGTACAGTATCACAGTTATTGTGCTAGACAAAATTCTTCTTCCTTCCACTTTTTAAGTCTTCTCAGCTCTTTTACTGCAATAGTTTTTGAATTTCCATCTCCCTTCAGACAAAATATTTGTTTCTCCCACTCCTTATCCTGCTCCTGGGCTGCATGATAATGATAATTATTTCACTTCAGAAAGGTCTGGCTTGATTGTCACTTTTGTATCACTTTCTTCATGACTCAGGAGTGAACCCCCTGAGGTACCCTGGAGTTAGAAGCAACTGTGTACTTGCCCATGACAACCTTTTTAAAATCAAATCCCTGTTTACTCTTAGAGATGAAAGCAAATATGAAATGAAAATTCAAATTTATTTGAATTATTCTGTACCATGACAGAAGTTGAGAAAAAAACCCTGAGGTTTAAGACTTTTTTTGAGAACTGAGAATCGTTCATCTCAACAGGAAGTTAGGACATTCAGGTGGGTTTACTACTGCTGTTCTCATGAATACTTAATTATTTGTATAAAGTGAGACATCTCCAAAAATTGGGGCTTAAATATTTCAAAGTAGAAGAGCCAGGATTTGAACTAATTTTCAAAAATCCAAGGAAAGTACTTACACAGCAAAAATATTATCCATCCTGATGGGTCTCCTTCTGTCAGAAAATTCTACCATGGACCAAGTACCTCTTCCAGTTAAAATTTTATTAAACTATATCCTTAAAAATTGGTTAATTTCTAAGGAAAAAGTCCACACAACTGTAAGATTCCCCAACGACTTCTACTCAAGTATTGGTCTGTTTTTCTGCCTCCCCTCCTTTCAGCAAGGCTCAATGACAATTTTCTCTCTTCAAATATGGCCATGACATTTCTTGTCCTCTGTTCACAGTGTTTTCTAACTTTTTCATAGCCCTTTTGAGCTTTGGCTCTCAGCCTTCACAAACAAACTATGCAATGCATCTGGAATCAAGGAAGAAAAGACTGCCTAATTATTAAGTTAAATATTGTCTCTGACCCTTACAAATAAATTTTTCATCTGTTTCCTTTCCTGGTTATTTCCCAACCACCTGCTATTAAGTTAAACAGATACGGTTGAATACAGCATATTCAAACAACCTGTAGCAAGCATTTGTAAATTATTGCAGGAAAACCTCCTGCCTCCCCAAGAAAGGCAGATGTAAATTCACTTCTCTTGGAGACCTAACCTCTGATGGTGTGTGTCTCTTTCCATGGTCACTGATGACCATTTGTCATCAGGCCCTCAACAAACTTTAAAATAGCAGAGGTATCTTGCCTCCCATTATTTCTAGGGATTTGAATTTCTAAATGATTTTGTCTAAGAACCGTCAGACACATTAATGCAATTTCTTTTGTTTAAAACTTGATGGTCTCAGTGCCAGTGAGTCAACTCAGTTCTGAGTTGACACATATGAAAGCATTAACTTCTATTAGAGGCCAAGATCCATTAAAGAAGCTGAGACACATCTGAACTATTGCAAACTGTGTCTCATTTTTCTGTTCCCTCAACATTTCTCTGATTGTACTATTACCTCATTCCTTTTCTAATGATTGTCAGCTGTTTGTTAATATAAAATTAAAGGTGAAAATACTGCTATACAACATAGCAACACTAAAAATTGAAGCCACAGAGCATTGAACATGAAGACAGCAGCAATGTAAACTTAAAAACCACTGCATATTTATAGAGAGCTTCATGGAATAAATGGTATTTTATGCTCCACACCATTTAGACCTCAATCTTTCTTCTGGCAAGCTGTTATTTTTGTGAATCGTTCAAAAGCCATTTATAACCAGGCCAATGCACCACTGACAACCGCACCTTTGAAGTCAGGTAGGGATTATTCATTTGCTGTGAATTTTCTGAGGAGCTTTATCCTCTTTCCATACACAGACATTAAAAATCAGAGGCAAAAATAAAGGTGCTAGTAAAAAAAAAAGTAAGCTATCAAACTCTCTGGTTTGAGAGAGTTTGGTTTCAGATGAATTCTGGGCAGTGTAAAAAGCCAATTGAATTTTTAATGTAGAACCTTTAATTTTTAATGTGGAACATGAGGGGGTTTAGGGTTCCTGAAATGCACCTTCCAGGGCGGTGACATCCAAGCATACCCAAAACCCCAGAACTCTGGAAAACAAGCCCATGGGTTCGTACAGCCACCCTTGGGGACACACTGAAGGGGAAAATCATGACTTTTGGTGCAATTTTTAGCTCTCCATTGAAGACTACATGTGCCGGGGTGTGTGTGTCACTTCCCTACAAGAAGAATAGACCGCGTGTATCTATATACATGTCGTACATCAGGAGGAATTTCTCCACAGGAAGGGTAATTAAACATTAGAACGAGCTGCCCGGGGAGGTGGTGGAGCCACCGACCCTGGAGGTGTTTAAGGAAGGACTGGGCGAGTCACTCGGTGCCGTGATCTGGTTGACGAGGTGGTGTTCGGTCATACGCCGGACTCCATGATCTCAGAGGTCTTTTCCAACCTAATTGATCCTGTGATTTTGTTATACACACAAACTGATATAAACTTTAGGACTGGAAACGCCTTGCGCTGGGGGGTTCAGCGGGGCAGCTGTGAGGCGACCACCGGGGTCCGCTGAGCCCGGGGCTGGGGCCGCGGCTGTGGGAAAGTCTCGATGGGGGCGGCTGAAGGGAATCATCCTGCCCGGGCCAGCTCTGAAAAGGGCCTCGGCTGAAGGTGCGGGATAGCAGAAGGGCTGCGGGGAAGCGGAGAGCGGGGGAACGAGCAGGAGCAGCCCCGGGTCGCCCTCGGTCTCTCCCC